CTTTTTTGTAGAGCATTAAATTTCCTACAAAATTCTTCTAGAACATTTTTCTGTACAATCAATAAATAATGAGGTATGAATTTTATCCTATTGGACTAAGAAAAAAATAAAAAACTGCGATGCGGATGATCTTCCTATTAAAATTAAGAGCTCATATTTGGTGAGAATTCTTTTAAGGTGTCTAGCAACCCATTTTTCCGTGGCACTTGTAAAAAAAAAATAATTGATTTTTTTGACCCACCCTAATATAATATATATATATATCAATCCGAATAAATATTTATTTGTTTAATTCATAATACTTAAAAAGAGTTACTTTACGAGCACCGAATTAGTCGTTGGATATTTAATGACAAAGAACGCTGACGAAATACCATCGACATACGTGTATATATGTATATATTTTTATAGATGGACAGTTATAGTGGTTATACTGTTGATCGTAAGATATATATGACAAATACTTACCAACTATAATAATCAATATAATGAGTGCGATGACGCCCATGATGATCATCATCTGTTGAAAAAGAAAAATACCATAAGATTAGCCTTTTCGTTCAATAATAGATAATGATAAAAATAACATTAGATAAAAAGAATTAATTAGGAAAAAAAAAGAAAAAATAAATGAAAAAAAGAGAATTTGAAATTACCTTTAAATTTTGTAGCCAAAACTTCCTTTTCAATTTTCCTGCTTGTTGTTCAAACTGCGACGCTCCTTGCTGGAGTGCGTCTATAAGATGGAGAAAAAAAGAAGAAATCAATAAGGAAATGTTATGGTTTCGGTGATTCTCTTGAGTGAAACGATTAGTACGGTCCAGAAGTACTCTTCCTAGTTTCTCTACCTCTTTCTCTCTCTCTCTCTCTCTATCCTTTTTTATATCTTTTCCTATTTTTTTTTCATTTGTAGGAATGAAGGAGTAGAAAGGAGGGCTACTAATATTTTTCTTTTTAAATATTTGGTTCCATCTAAGAAAATTCTTTATCTTTCTCTTTCTCTTTCTCTTTCTCTTTCTCTTTCTCATTCTCTATCTTTCTTTATCTATCTTTCTTTATCTCTCTTTCTCTTTATCTCTTTTTCTCTTTATCTTTTTGTTGTAATATTTAAAAAGTAAGAAATGGGCTACTGATGCTTTTCTTTTTAAATATATATTTTTTTTCTATTAAAAACTTTTATTACATTTATTTATTTAAATATATATTTTCATTATGATTAAATTGTTAAATTTATGTTATTTTATTTCCGTTTTTTATGAGACAAAGAATGACTTTTGCGACTGATAAGTGCAACACACCTTTCATGGAGTTTTTTTTTGTACTCTTTGCAATTTTTCAACATATCTATTGGATTTTGCTCCAATAATACCTTTAAAAGGTTCATCAAAGTCGGAATACGTCCTGCACTCGATTCATCTTTTAAGATCGTATCTCCAGAACGGAATTTTACAAACCAATGTCTGACTGCCCTATCAGTTATCAGTCTTGCACCGTATACGCTCCATATTTTTCCAATTGCCACCTTAGTGCTATTGCCTTGTTTCAATTCCTAAAGCATTACATGTCGAATATGCACTTTTTACTATCCATTTCAGTGGTTAGGAAAAACGGTTAAATGTAACATTGACTACATAAAGAAACATGTGTGCAGATCACACGTGTTAGAAGGGAAATATTCAAAAACTAAGTTTCAAGAGAATGAGACGAATACAAAATATCTGGTGTAGGATAATTGTATTCTCTTCTTATTTAGTATCGCGGCCGTTTCATTGCTTCCCACCGCTCCGTTACATAGCCGCCTATCGCTCCGTTACATTTTTTCAAATCACACCCATTCTAAAGAAGTTTTTACTTCAAAAAGTTGACAGAAGACTAACTGAATCCTCATCTATACAGTGATATTGAAAATCCGTTTGTTTCGGTGGCTTATAGTAGGTAAATACGAAAAATAGATTCTACACAATCGCATCTGAAGTTACTTATTACTCGATCTAATATTATCACAATTTGTTTGGTTAGACTTCACGCGGTGCGATGGAATGAACGATCGAACGCCGTCAGCCAGCACCTAACTCGAAATTAACATCGATTTGAGAGAATATGTTTTTTTACGTAATCGATATATCATCATAGACAATCGGATCGTATTTAAGAAATGGGTTATCAATTGTTTCGAATCACTTCGAATAATTTAAAATTAAAAGTTTTGACAAATTTTGAATGTTTCAATTATTCTAAATTTTTCGACTGCGTGTACATGCATAAAGAAAATATGCATTATAGTTTTACAAAAAAAAAAAAAAATAATTTATGTTTCATCTATTAAACTTAATTAAATGTACTATAAAAAAAATTTCTAGTCACGTTAGAATGTTCGATTTGTACTACATAAAAATGTCTAATCGCCTAGAATGACCGGCTCGTACTACTTAAAAAAAGTTTCTGACAGTGCTGTATAGGTACTTGACTTGTACTACTTAAATTGTAAAGATAGTAATACGGAAGAATCTCTCATTCAAACTTTGAACAGCTTTTGTTTTATAGCCAAAGTAATATGAGACCAAGCAGCATTATCATAAAGAAGAATCACTTTTTAGCAATTTGATGCAACAAATAGTAATTTTTACATTAAATAAAAATTCATATTATCGAATTGATTAGAATAACGATCATTTAATTCCGATATGATAGGGATTTCTAGTTAAAGTAGAAGAAGTGTTTAGTGATAAGCTCACCTGCTCGGTCATCGAGCTCGGATAGCTTTTGATCACGTTCGAGGACTTTTTCTACATTCGTCTTCATAATGTCGACGACCTCGTCTACCTGCGCCTGCGTCGCCTGCAGTCGCTTTTGCGAAGCGATTTGTTGAGGCGTCCTGGGTCCACCGACGATTCCATCGGTTCCTGCACCTGCACCCGCGCCAGCACCCGCTGCATCTGGCGTCAGACCGTCTTCGGTGGCCCTGAAAAATGTTACTTATCTTATATCTGTTTACATGTTGTAAATCTTTCAATATCTATCAACCGAATGTTTGAAACGAAATAATGCGACGAGATCATTTCCAACTGTATATGATGGTCTACTGGTTATTCAAAATTTTTAAGTTCCTAACAATTTTTTTTAATTATTAATAATTACATTTTCATTTTAGATAAAGAATGATAAAATTAATTGCTTTTCTTTAGAAACTTTTTTTGAAATATATATCGAGTGTTTTAGTCATAATTAAATTGTCTTAGAGAACGAACGCGTAGGTGGTATAACAAGATTTAATAATTTTGTCAAACTTTCAGTCGTAGACTATATTGCCATCATGCTACATTCAAAAGGTCAAAGTTCACGACAAGCTTTCTTCATAAAAAAAAAAGAAAAATACGATTTAATTTGCAAATGTTATTTATTAATGTCAAAACCTGATGGTATTTATTAAGCTTTTTTTTCTCTCTTGATAAACACACGATCGATCGAATAGGTAGTTTCATTATTGATAAATTTAATAATTAAAATTTGTCGAGAAATATCCTACGGGTTACTATAGAAAATCATGTATCTCTGAAGAGTTTTCTTTTATGGTATTTTCATAGTACCATTTGATCGTTTCTCACGTTACGAGAACTTTACTCGAATACCTGGCAGCAATGTTAATTTCACTATTCTATAGTTTATGTTGCGATAATGATCATACCGCGTGTATGCTTTTAACGATGAAACTATATTAGGTCTCTGTCTTCATTCAGTTACGCATAATTATAGTGGATACTTTGTTTAATTTCTAATGAAAAAAAGAAAATATATGGAAAAATGATTAATATCGCTAAAGAGTTTCGTCAAATTTAAATTACTTATTATCGAATTGATTATTTTAATATAGAAATTTGTTTCTTTTAATTTACGAAATCTTTTTTTAATTAATTATAAATGAAGTAAACGTACAAATTTGAAAGAACGACGAGTAAATGAAGGAGCGTGCATCGATAGATTAGAAACACGTTCAAAGTGGATTTATTTTTGGTAACCGATCGAAGAACCTAGTGGCAACAACCGCGATCGATCACCGAGTATATATATTCGAGTATATTATACTCTAGTATGTTAAAAAAAAAGAACGAGAATGGTCAAAAACTTATTAGTCATATATATTTCAGGGTATTTCAGTAAACAGATAGACATATAGAATAAGATAATCGTGTCGCGTATACGATGTCGACGAAGAACTAGCAGTTGGGAAAAATACAACAAAAAATAGGTTTATAACTATGTGGAAAGCTCGAAAGTTCGATAATCGTATTAATATATCGATTGCTTAGATACTTTTATACCTTTGCTAAGTTAATCGATTATAAGAAATGTAACAGAAGCTTAAAGGTTCAGAAGTAACAGAACTGTAACTTTAGTAACTTTCTATAACAGAAGCAAAAGCTAAAATAATTAGTATTTTTCAAGATTATTATATTCGTTCATTTATATTTTTCAATCAACGAGGTCGTAGATATTGTTTAAACGATTTAAAAAAAAATAAATAAAGAAAAAAACCAAAAAAACGAAAAAGAAAAAATGGCGTAAGGATATTTTGTTAAATCAAAAGGAATTTTATTTATAGCAACACAAGCGCATAAGTTTCTTCGCAAAGAGGGTAGCTTTTCAATGATGAAACTTTTCTATGATATCATTTACTCCCACTCATCGAGTTTACGTATATGTAGGTAGGCATTACATTCAAAACACGTCTTTCTTTTTTTTTCACGATCTAGTCGTAGGACATTATTGTAAATGCGTTCATCATCGATTTATCTAAATATAGAAACATTACTGGAGTATAGACGGTTTACGAAACGATGGATTTCTTATCTTTTTGTCTTTTATTTTTTTTTATGTTTCTCCTTTTTGTTTTTTTTTTTCATAGATAACCTTTATGGTCAAACCTGATGATTTTGCTCGTAAACTGCATTTAATGAAAAAATAAGATAAACTAGATAACCTCGACAATAATGATCGTATAACGTAGACGAAGATATATATATCTTAAATTATTATTATATATATTATATTATATTTTTAAAAATCTTATTTAAATTTTATCTATCATTAATATAAGACAAAGTCAAAATCCAACGGCGCGAGTTAAAGAAATGAATTTCTTCGTCGTTTTTTTTTCTTAAGATGCTACCTACTTCACCGGTGAAACGTTAAAAATGCTTCTAGCTTTCGGACCGTGCAGTCTATTGGAAATTCCATTAACGCGCTACGGATGGATCTCTCCTATATGAGAGAATCGATCGCGAGGGTTATGAGAAGGAAGAAAAAGACATAAAAATAGAGTATCTTCAGTTGCATCTTCCCTTTTTATTCGTGTATCGATAGGGAGATCTTCCAATTGAGCGCAGGACCATGATGGTAGTAAAAATCGAGTTCTACTGTCCTCTAAAGAAAGAAAAAGGGACATAGAAAGAGTGAAAGAGGGTGGGAAGGAGGAAGGAGGGAGGAAGAAAAAAATGTTACGTTCTTGACTAGGCTACGATTTTAGAATTGATGAGAAAGTGCTATCGAAAGGTTTCCAATCAGATTCGTTCAGCAAGAATCGATCGAAAGTTCTGACCAGCTAAATGCGTCATCACTGAGAAGGGATGTCAAATAACGATTGTTCTTCTCTGCAATAGAACTGGGTTTTTTTTTTTGTTTTTTCTTCGACGACATAAACTTAGGTAGATGAAACAAAACTTCTTCATATATTTTTCATCACTCATTTAGTTTTCACCTCGACTTACTTATCGTAAGAAAGTATCCCCGAAATTCTTTTTATTAAATAATTCCATTCGTTTTGATATAGGCACATACATATGTGTGTATGTATATATATATATATAGATTTATGTATATGTGTAGTATACAGCCACTGAGTAATTAAAGGCTAGGAACGAAAAATAAACCAGTTTAAAAGACACCATACAGTTTTAGTTTGGTGAACATCGCTGGTTTTAGAAAAGCGATAAAAACGCGTTCGAACGATCAAACAATCGAAATAAACTTTTCTATGATGATCGTAGTTACTCACATATTCGTTTTATTTCGCTCCTGTCCCTTTTTTTACTTCACACGGCTATTCTCGAGCCTTTGTCACCCCGTCTTCGTCTTCGTCTTCGTCTTCGTCGTCGGCGTCGTCGTCGTTGTCGTCGTCGGACGTCAAGCCCGTAGATTTCGCAAGCAACTCTGCCTGCGGCGAACTAGATAACCGTGGTATTGATAAAATTTCCAAGCGGTAGAGATAGTTCTCTCGATATATATCGAACCTGCTCTCGAAATGACATCTCGAATTAACTTCGACCCTTTCCTTTTTCCTTCGTCTTTATTTTCATATCCATGCGCTCCTTCGAATTACCATTCGAATTATTTTTAAATGTCCTCGAAATTTCCTCGCATGATCTTAAAAATATCATGTATTATTTTTTATTGATTATAATAAATATTTTTAATCAATAATTCATTGTTTAGACGATTGGTAATGATCGGGACATTTGAAATGTTCGCGCCAAAGTACCGAATCGATCATCTAAATTCGATAGAATCGAACGTCACAGAAGAGAAAAACTTAATGCGCATGCACAACGAAATATGCAGTCAATAAAAGCCGCCCCCGTCGTATCAACCCTCATGCGCGAACACACCCCGCTGGTGAGTACAGGTATGTAATAAGGCTGTCTCAACCCTTGTACCATTTCTCTTTCTCTTAATTTCTGACATCTTTTATAAAATGAAATAATATACAATTTCTGTTTTGCAATTAATTCATCTCAATGGACGATAGAATATACTACTTCTATATTTTTTTGTACATAAGAAATATTAGGATATAGCAGCAATATGATATCTGATTTGTTCCAGTTTTTATTTGTTTATATTTTATGTAATTTTTAGTTCCTCTTTTAATCATACAACTCAACAAAATTACATTTTAATAATAATCGAATACAATTAAATAAATGGATAATCTTTTATGAAAGAATTTACGATGATTCGGTGAAATAAAGTATTTATTCATAATTAAAATGTTGCTAGAATGTGTTATCTACTTTTGTACGGTCCTGGCCAAGAACGCATTAAGTGAACGCGCAGGATCAACCGCAAAATCTTCTATTTATGCTCTTGTCGCGATTTTTGTCGCGAGTCGTTATTGAGTTGAACTTAGAAGCCTGATAGGTTCCCAGTGTCTACATGGCCTTTAATGAAAAGAAGAGCATCATGGACATATATTACGGTGAGTAATTGTTCTAATCATCTTTTCTTTTATTACATTTTTTAAAAACAATATCAATTTGATCATATATACACCCTAAATCTCTTAAAGATTATATATACTTCACTATAAATGCTCGATTTCTAAGTACTCGGATTCGCTTTTCTGTTTTTATTTTCAATGATGAACTTCGATTTTTCATTGTTTATATACATTTTTAATACGAAATATCATATAAATGAGGATAATTTGATTTTTACCTGTATGTTATTATTGATCGCATTTGGATTTCTTATGACTGATTTGAGAACCGTTAGCGCCACCTGGCATACATTTTCTGAAATTGTTTGTACGCGGCGATTAACGCGCTTTCAATTTAAAAAACAGTCGGTAATGGTACAAAAACTCTCACAGGGATAATAATAAATATGATTATATACATAATTATTTCATACTATTTTATTTACCTTATCTAAAGTATTTCTTTTGCATTTTTTTTTCTTGGTTTATTTTATCACGATAACATATCTTAACTTTAAATGACGTAAAATGTCAACGTTGTATCTTTGTCATTATTATCGCGCCATCTTACATTTTATGTGTCATACTGATGTAAACTGTACTCGTCATCGACAGAAATTTGTGGGCTTATTCGTAGCCGGGTATAATTGCGAGTGTCTTTTTTCTCTTCTTTTCTGTTCGTTAATTTCTAAAATTTGTATTACGCGTAAGTATAATATATACATATATATTTACAAAAATGATAGTATATATATTATTCGGTAAAGGTTTGTTATTAGAAATTGTTTTGGTAAAGTTCATCGTATGATACGATAACGGAAATACTTATTTGGTCAAAGAATCTCAGTGTAGTACGAATATTGTTCTTTCGTTATATATCTTCTATCTTACATATTGTTTGTTTTTTCGATAAAGTGATTTTTTGCAGTAATTCAATCGTTTATTAGCTACTAACATATGTAAGTATTTGGAATACAGGTTATGGGCGTTGTTCTTGCAAATTAGTGTAAATTATTTCACCTTCAATGATCGACTATTATATAAATTGTGGTATTCACTATGATATTCGTATCATGTTCTCGGTTATCAGATACAAATTAAAGTGATATCATATTAGTATTCGTATAATTATACAATGAGATTTGTATAATTGTTTTTTGTAAAGCATTTTTCCTTTTTATAATTTGAACTTTTTTAGAAATATGGACGGAGTGGGTAACTCTACAGAAGTTGAGATCGGTGGGCCAAGAAATATGCAGCAGGCAGCATCTAGTAAAAAGCTACAGCAAACACAAGCTACGGTTGACGAAGTGGTGGGAATAATGAAGGTTAACGTAGAGAAAGTATTGGAAAGAGATCAGAAATTGTCAGAGCTTGAAAATCGAGCCGACGCGCTGCAACAAGGTGCAACGCAGTTCGAGCAACAAGCAGGAAAACTTAAAAGAAAGTATTGGTGGAAAAACCTCAAGATGATGATCATCATAGGTATCATATGTGTTGTGATCTTGATTATTATTATATGTAAGTATCTAGTTTTGTATATTATATGTGTTTTATATTGTATGTGTTTGATTTAAATGATCTTTCTATTTTTTATTGTTTACATCTTTGATAGACTCCGCTGTACCAAGTTCTTCAGATTCTGATAATCCTAACACAACTGCAGCTCCATAATATTTTTTAATGGTAATGTAACTTATCGTATTGGTCTAATATTCCATTATCGGAGTTATAATATAAAATGAAGTTTATATGACAAGAATATGTACAGGTTATAATGATAGAACAAATTTCTATGAAAATATAATGTATGATCTGGTTAATAATATAATTAAGGGATAAAAATGATACGCATATTTTTGAGACTTAATCTACGTGATTGCACAATTTGTATATTTAACGCAGTATTAATATGGGTGGCCTTTTCTTTTTTAAATAATTGATGTTGAAAGATACCAAGGTGTTTTATGTTGTTGCAATGCTTATGTACGTTTATCGAGGATATATAATATATAATGTTTATACTCTTTTCATGTGACTTCTGTACACATTTTGTATACCTACCATCTTATTTTTTATATTGTAAAGAAGTTTCTCTTAGAGTATACTGTAATACTTTATTATTCGGAACTGCAAAATACTATACATGCATACAAAATGTCTATTTAAAATTCAATACGAATTATTAATTATAATATTTTAATTAACATTCGTACGGGTAAAGTAATACTTGATTTTTTGTTACTTATAAGTAATCATTAAAAGTTTGGTCCTGGTCGTTAAAAATGTCTCACAAGAAGGACAAAATTTTCGCCTTCGATGAACAGTTAACGGTTAACTACTTTCGTGCCGACTATTTTAACAAATAAAAAACCTTATTATTAGATTCTTATGCTAAAAAATCAAATAACTAATATTAAAGCGAATTGTAAACGTAAATAGACGGTTCAACGATTAAATCAAAATAGTCAAGAATGTACTAAAAAAGAATATACAAGAATGGAAACATCGAGGAAAGTGTTAACTGTAAAAATAAACTATGAAAAATTTCAATATTGCTCGGGATATGATTCATAAGAGAACGGTAAATATTTATTCAAGATATTAGCGAGATCACCTGACGTTAAAATCGATTAAAAAAATATTCGCGTCATGTGTCGATCGCAAAAAATATTGTTTCATCGATTTCTTCTTTTCCTTAAAAAAAATGTAAAAGAAAAAAGAGACACGAAAAAGATTTTAAATATAAGTTTGACATTGGAATAGACGATTATATTTCTATTAATCGAAGTAATTATGTTGAAACAAAAGTAAATGTGTTAACAATTAAGTGTGACGCTTTGACCGATGTAACAAGATTTTGATTTTCCCGCAAAACTTTGGTAGAAATCTCGACCGCCCTCATTCATACACCTATCAGTCGGCTCGCGACCGTCCGGCCGGATAGTCAGAGGCGGCACGCGAGCCGTGCGTTCGCGGCGTTGCGTTTGCGCGTCCATTTTACGATTTTTAGTATACTATTATTCTTATTGTTAGATATTATTCTAACAACACTACACGATTATCGTTAACCCGCGGTACACACGCAAGCGTTTTAAAACTATCGGCAAGTAAATATATATATCAGAAATTTCTATTTATTAACAGTTGTATAAAAAAGTAAACGAATACCGGCACGAAAGAGATTCTCTATCTCTATCTCTTTCTTTCACCCTATCGATAGTTCTTAGCATCGTTTTTCTTCCTGTCTTCAGAGATCGACCGGTTGTTTCGTTCCACCGATTGGTGGAAGGCTATACTTAAGTTGACTCTTTCTTTTCTAAACTCTTCTGAATTTCTTTCGATAATCGTTGCGTTAGTTATTTTAGTTTATTATTATTATTATTACTATTATTATTATTATTATTATTATTATAAGAACGTATGTTATATATATTTTTTGTTATTCGAGTATTATAGGTCTAAGGAATTATATTTTCTTTTATTTTTTTGTGAACTTTTTAGAAAAATAAACGTTTTAGAGATAAACAAAAATATTCTTCGAATTTGGATTAATATTTATATATATTAATATATAACAAACGATTTTTATTAGTCATACTACGATTTGTTCGCTTCGATTTATTCAAATTCATACGAAAGTGTTGAAATGAACGAAATAATACATACAAATTCATAGTAATGATCTATACCACCAGATAGTGCTGCTTATTTGTAAATTCGAAACTAGTCTTACGTTCGGAGATCAGTAACGCAGAATAATTGGCAAGAGAAAGAAAGAAGGATTGAAAAATCTACTTTATTATCAGAATCGATAGTTAGTTAAGTCGATTGAAATTATAATATTTTGACAAATGAAGATCGTGATTGAAAAAATCGTTCGAACGTTAACTTCGATTCCCTTAACTTGTTAGGGTCATTGAGACACGCGTCGCCTTAACGACAGCAAAAGAGTGTTCGAATTTGTTTGTAAAATCATTTCAGTCGGTCGGTGTGTTGATAGAAAGAAGAAAAACCGAGATTCAAAAGGTTTTGAAATGAAAACCGCATACGGAAGCACGAGAGTGATTTTTCCAAAATTTTTCGTATCATCCGAATCGATAAAGTTAATATGTTTCTTTTAACTCTTACAAAAAGCAAGTTATTATAAATTTTTCATCTCTTTTTCTTTTCTTCTCCTCTTTTCGGTCTTTAGAAATTTTATTTAATACACGTTTGTAGATTTTGATAATATTTCGAAAATATATTTTTTAGCCAATAAATTACGTTTATTTTTCATTATGTGTAATGCGAGTATTTAAATATTTCTTTTATTTTATTTTTTTTTTAGATTTTGTATATTTACAGATTTTTCAAATACGATTTATTTTGATTCAGACTCATTTTAAAAGGAATCGATTGATTAATTTATTAACATCTTTGCTTTAAAAAAAAACTCGTATAGTTTTGATATTTCTTCAGATTCAACCGTAAACATTACCATTTTTATTCTGTATGTTAATGTGAAAAATAAGAATCGTTGAACGATTAAAGTATGAAGAGTAGATGGTAAATAGATAACTATGCGAAGCGTTTAATATCGTTAATAATAGCAACTTTTTGTCTTTTCTGTTTTCATTCCTAATAATAACGTTATTCTTCTAATTGAATTGTCCGTTTATTTAAGAGAAAATTACATTGCATTGTTATATTGTAGATTTGTCAACGATTACAAGATAGTTTATAGGAGAAGTGAAAAATAGTGACAATATTAATAATTAGAAATAAAAAAAAAGGGAAAGAAAAGTTAGAGTTGGTTTTGCAAAGAGTTCATCATTGACGAGATATCGGAAGGTAAAAGAAAGAAAGAGAGAGAAATAGACCCGTTATGGACAGTCATTAGTAAGATAGTTGTGTGCGTGCGAGTGAAGTGACGACAACCTAATCCAATCCCAATCCTCTTTCATTTTTTTTTCCTTTTTCTTATTTCTTTATTGCGGTTTACTTGAATTTTTCAATACCGGGTGCTTCAGCGGGATAAACATTCAAAATGGCGTCTTCAGAGTTGGGAAGAGAAAACGATGAGTATGGACTTGGATATCAGAATACTTTGGTGAGTCTTTTCTTTTTTTTTCCATTTTATTATTTTCGTTCGTTCGAATATAATCGTTTTATTTTTTTGGGCGGCTTATTATCATCGATGTCATTATAAACAAGAAGAAAAATGTATGTGAACGAGTAAAGAAAAAAAATTTGAAGAGTCGTACGTATCGAATCGATAAGAGCAAGTTTAGAGAGCTATTCGATATTCGATACGTACGTGTACGCACGTACTTAAGTACGCGCGCATCGTTTTACATTGTAAACAATATTTTTTTAAAGATCTTACTAGCGGATTTATCTTTCACACACAGAGTATTTTTATATTTTTTGTTTTACATTTAATACTTCGAATCAGATTACTTTGAAGAAATAATCAAAATGGATGACATGATGAAAACAGACGTTTGATGACGTACGAGTATACACAACCTGATATATTCGAGCTTAGAACAATTCGAGTTGAGAAACGCGCCAAAAGTTACGGCAAGGGTTGCAAACCTATTTTCATGTTTATTCTTAGCTTAAGTAGATTCTTAGGCATAAATAGTTCTTCTCAAAGAAAGTAGAATCATCTTATGCACGAACAAGATCACGATTATAAATACGTGCTTTTAACTTTCTTGCGTGCTTTTTCATATTCTTCGATACCTGCGATTTATCGACTTATTGCGTGGAATAGTCGACGTTTAGTCAAATCGTGACCGTCTTTTAAAAAAAAAAAACATTTCGAACTCTAGATCACTCGTTACTTTTATTTCGATTTGTATATATAATAAATTCGTTTTAAAATTTTGTTATTTATAGATAGTTCTCTCTCTCTCTTACTCTTTCTCTTTCAGTTATTTCAAATGTCACGGCAGCTGAATAAAGATGCATAAACGTAGCTTGGCCCCAGACACTTCTTATTTCTTTATCCTTGTATTTAACTTCAATTTACTTTCTGCTGTATTACTTTTGCCGTTGTCACTGGTTTATAAAGTTATTTTTGCGTTTGCCAAATTCCCGGGACATTTAACAGTTTCCTATAATTATAATATAAGTTTAAAACAATGCTGGATTCATATTCGAAAGAATGTTATTATTCATCTTTTATTCGTCGTGTCTTTAAACGCTACTATAATTATTCATTCCGAGATAGAGATAAATTGTATTTGAACTAAAAAAAATGTTTCGTTTTCTTTTTTTTTTTTTTTCTAAACACACATATATTTTTTTCTTTCCCTTTCGAATATTGCTTCGATTAAAGATCTTCGATTATCGAGAAACAAAATGATCATTTATTTATTCTACTTAATTTTTTTTCTATTCTTTCCGTTTCCAACACTTTTCATTTCCTCCTTCCTTGATTTTTACAAACGACAAGTATTAATGTCGAGATAACATTATACATATCGTGACATCATAACTCGTTAGTGTTGATTATCGCTCGAACATCATCTATTGAAAACATTTTATCGGTAGTTAATAAATACATATCTATTATATTGTTTATTCTCTTATACTTTTGTAGTGTCAAGTTTAATAATGTTTTTTTTTCTTTTTTTATGTTTTTTTTTATTTATTTATTATTGATCGCAGATTATGAGTTTTAAATATCCATACAATTTTTTTAAGATTCTATTTTTTTTTTCATTCGGTAATAATGATTCAGAAGTATGATCGTTTTGAAATATGTATATATAATAAACGTGATTTGATCGGATTGCGTGTCATCGGAAGTATGATTGCATCATTCCTTTATGCATTTATTTACACATATACAGGATGTTCCAAAAGTTCAGGAACAAACTGATACGATTTGTATTAACCCTTTTATTACTAGCAACCCATATATGTGTCATTCATACAAAAGCTTGTACGTACGTACGAGCAACTCCTTTATACATAAATATTCATAGTTAATTAATAAACGAATGCGGAATTTGCTTTAGCTATTATACATGTTAACTAATCAAATTATCACATTGATTCAAGGATTTTGATCATCGAAGAAACACGTTAAATGCATGCTGGACGTATTACGTTACTTATTTTTCATCTCCTTGACTTTATTATTTTATCTCTACTCGTTTATTTATTTTTTTTATTTGTTATTTTTTTATACATATTAACGACCATCTTTAGCACGAAAAATAAGTTCGATATAATAATATAAAGTACACTGAAAATATACTATTTTATGATAATATATATTATTATTATTGAATTACTAAACTCGTTAGAATTTAAACAGATGAAAGTTAATTTTCGCTTTGATTACTTTCTCTATTTACGTACTATATATACATATATATA